CATGATAAATCATATATACTTTCAATTCTATAGCATATTAAATTATAGATGATACTTTTGATTCTAGCATGATATAGCATGATAAATGCTTTCAATTTGAATGCAAATTTGTTCACCCTTTGTAGTGTGTGGACATTGCACTTCATTGTGGTTGGTCCATTATGATGTGAAAATGGGACCACTCTACTTATCCACCAATAAAAAAAAAATGTGTAATATTCACACAATATGAACAAATTTGTTCTCCTTATGATTTTATAGCATGATAAATCATAAATGCTTATGATTTAGTTCTGTAGATATTTACAAATCTCCGAACAATATCGAGTACATACAATATTGAAAATAAAAGAAAATGTCACATATATAAACCACTAAACACAAACAAATAGAGCCGGAAATTTGGCACGCGACCTTTGTTAACACGATTTGAATTGTATACTTAATTAGAGGGTTTGGATTGGTCTATTTTTGACACTAACACGAATATGGCCGACAACATGCGTATTAAATGACTTATGCTATGGTTGAAGACATGTAATTCAAACAAGACCCGTTCAACCCATGTCATAATTTGTGTCGACATGTGAACACGAATCCACTATTAATCCACAAGTAACCCAAATATAACATAAATCCAGTAATCGTAAAATCTTAAATGCTTTATTCTTAGCCATTGAATTACAATTTGGTATTGGACGAAAATTTGTTTTGTTTTAAAAAATTTGTTAGATATTCACCTAAAAAAAAAATTTGTTAGATGTTTAGATATTAATGGGTGATAATTGGATGTGTGGACGATTAGTAATGAATATTTTGAATTGTTTTTATGAATATTAGCATATATTAGGGGAAAATGTACCTAAATAGGAATAACTTAAAATAATTACATCTTCATGAAAGTGCAAACTAGCCTGTATCTATGCAAGTAAAATTCATGGCATGGGATATAACCCTCACTTGTTGCAACCGTACAAGTATAATGACTTTGAGTTAAATCCACTTAAATGTAATTTTTCCTATATATTATTTTTGTGGTTGTTAATGTTTAAACATGTTTTTCTTAGAGCGTTCTCTTTTTTTACATTAAATTTAAATTTGATTAAATAAGTACAGTTTTGCTATTCCAACCATGAATTTAAACCCATATCAAATGTGGGAAAACCAAAAACTTTCATCAAATGGGGGAGGCTTGAGCGTTTCATCAAATTGATAAGGTAGCCTTTATTGTTCCAGGTAGTTGGGACGTCACAGTACACCGAACAACCAGATGATGAAAATTAAAAATTTAGCGTTAGAACACTTGTTATCAGATGAAACTTTTAACCCAAATCCTTACTCAAATTTGATGAAAAAAAAGAGTAAGCGTTAGAGATGCTCTTATGCATGTAATATGAAATATGTTTGCTTTAAATATATTGTACTATCAAACAAATTTTTATCTAACTATGTCAGGTGAGTCATATTCTAGCTGACAAAATTATAAGTACATCAAGTCAATTTGATGATATTTAACGTGTTTAGTTAAATGAATCGTGTTATTGTTGGAGTGTTTTCGACACGAATCCACAATGACATGAGAAAAACGATACAACACCGCACAAGATTCCCACCCCTACAAACAAGTGAATTCTATGTAGGTTAATGTTGGAATTAATTCATGACCTTGCATCTAGTAGATAAAAAAATAATAATAAATATGTAACATTTTTATACTATAAATGTAACAACCCACATTTATGTCTTAGTCATGTTCATGAGCATTTGTATGATTATGACTCGTTAAGCTTGCATTTGTATGTTTATGACTTGTTTTGCCTAAGTAAAGTCCATGCCTTGTTTTGTGTTTATGTGATTTGCCTAAGTGTTGTGTGCATGCTTTGTTCCTTCCTTGGTGTCTCAAGCCTAAGTTATGTTAAGCCTAGATCATTCCAAGCCGAGGTCATCTTCAGTCTAGAATTACTCTTGGAACCACTTTGTTTGACCTCCACCTTCGCCCTGTCATATTGACTGAGATGTGTACTATCTAGGCCAAGATGTTACCTTTGCACCTAAGTGATCTTGTCATGGAGTGGTGTGACCTAGATCGAGGTGTGGCACATCTAGGCCAAGGTGTGGCACAGCTTAGTCAAGTGTTGTCCTTCCTAGCCGAGATCATTGTCACCTTAGTTGCTGAAGCTTTGTCCTTAGCCGATGTCATCACTTGCCGGAGTGCCTTACCGGGTAGCTTGTTAGATACACTTTGTCTTACACATGTCTTGTCAATCTATCACCTTTTTTAGGAGAACCAACCAGCCGTTGCCACGTGTCCAAACTGAGAGTTAAGTCAGCCGACAGAGGGAGAAACCTATCATTTCTATACTTGTTTTTGAAGAGGAAAGAGAAGCTCTAGGAGAGGGAGAGGAGTTCTTTGGGGAGAGGAGAGGAGATTTCCAAGCTTGATCCCTAGAGATCGAACCGTTAGATCCGTGTTTTAAGGTAGATTCTTGATCGCTCATGTTGTTCTTTATGTTCATGTTATTGCATTGCATGATTGATATGATTTGTAAGCCATGCATTGCTTTGAAGTTCGGTTTTAGAAAGAGAAAATAGTATTCATGTTTTCTTCAAGAAAAGTCATGTTTTGATCCGAAAGTTCATCCAAGATCCATGTTTTTATGTTTGTTTTTCACATGATCTTCAAGCATGGGTACCCAGGTCCATGTTTTCGAACTCATAGCATGAAATCCCAGATTTTTGTAATACAGAAGTTATGATTTTAGCATTCATATTCTTCATGGTCTTCATGTTCATGTTCTTCATGTTCTTCACGGGTGGAAACCCAGATCTCCAGACCTCACTTCCCTAAGTGTAGTCGCCGAAATCACTCTTACCTAGATTACACACTTAGGCCAAGCATCGTATCTCACCTTAGCCTACCTTGCATGATCACTTACACCTTTAGTTTGTTTTGTGCGCACCTCGGCATGCAGTCGCACGCCGAAGCCTAGGTAGCCACTCCTCGGCCAGGAGGTGTGGGACCTCAGCAAAGACTTGGTTGGTACCCAGCATGTCTTCCTGACATGTAAAACAGTGTTTTGACTTCCAGCATGTTTTCCCGAGATCATTTGCATGCATGCAAGACTTGTTTTGAGAAGTGCATTTAATAGACTTTGCCATATGTTTGTAGGACTTGGACTTGCCTTGACCCCAACGTTTGAAGAACTATGTAAGTGATATTTTTAATAAAGTTATGTTATAAAGACTTGATAAAGCCTTGTTTCGTTTTGATGAAAGCATTTGATTAAGCATGAATGATTACTTCTATTTTTGTGTATCAAGTAAGCTTTGTTTTGATGACATTCTTGGAAAGTCCTTAGTGCCAAAGGACTATAATGCAACTGCACCCTTGCTTGAGAGATCTCTGCCATCGACGGTCTGGGATACGGATGGCCCCACCGACGGTCTGGGATACGGGTGGATTTGTCTAATCGATTCCAGGTCGATTATTCCCTTGTTTTGTCTTGTTTTGCCACCAACGGTCTATGAACGGGTGGGTTCGTTTTGTCAGGAATGTCATCGCCCCATGTATTATGTAGATGTTATTAAACATCGCAAGAAGATTTGAAAGGCCAAGATTTGATTGATGAACTTGATTCATCTCGTGTTTTGAACAAGCTATGATATATGTATTGTTTTGACAAGGACCTCGGGAATCATTCATTTAAACCTTTATTATTTATACCATTCACTGAGTATCCAAGCTCACCCTCCCTATGTATATATGTAGGTAACAAGCAAGAAGTCGGCTACGCCGAGATGTGTGTTTTGTATGTATGTTATGTCGGCAGTGAGGATGTCGGCAACCTGGGAGATTATGTTTCTTGACTTGTAGTTCATGTATTTTGAACATGTCGGCTCGAGAAGCCTTTTATCAAGATGTAATATGTATTTTATTATGCTTATATTCAAATTGTAAAGCTATGTAAAGATATATGCCATTTCATTTGATCTACGCACTGCTCTTACGAACCACTTGTATTGTAAATTATTGCTTCCGCACTTGTTAGCCCCATATGTAATACTCTGATTGCGTGTGAATTTTGAAAGTTGGCCTTCGGTAGTCTCGGATTACTGGCCATCACGGCACCATCCTGCTAGGGATGGGTTGGGGTCGTGAGAATAAACTCGCACCTTTCTGTTTTTATCACAAACTACTTTATCTCTTTTTGTTCACTCCAAGAAAACAAATTTTACCTTTCTTCATTGGCAGTTGCCAAAATGTACTGGTCTCCAATACTACACAAACTAACAATATGATTTATGCAAAAACCCAAAGGCAGCAAAACACAAATTGTACTGTTCAAGGCTTTAAGCAAGACATTAGTTTCTTTCAATATCATGGTATTGCATCTACTCTAAAAATCAGATGACAATCGTCACCACTTCAACTGCCGAATCAACCACAACCACTAAAACAAAATCATATCTTCCATCAACCATCTCACGCTACCTCCATCAAACATTGCCATTGGCCTTTATTGTTCAATTAGATCCAGGTTAGGAAGTGCAGAGAAGGGGCTGGGTCTGTCATTGTTTTGTATATGTAGCGAAGGGGCTAGATCTGGGTGGGATCAACTTTCACCATCAAACATTGCTGGTTTGATTATCATTCATCGTTGTTTGATTGATACACCATCAATGTAATAACCCACATTCATGTCTTAGTCATGTTCATGTACATTTGCATGATTTTGTCTTGTTAAGGGCGGTTTGGGGTCGTGACAATCAACCTTTTATGGAGATAGATTTGATTTGTTTTGTATATGTAGCAAATGGGCTAGATCTGGGTGGGATCGACTTTCACCATCAAGCATGCTGGTTTGATTATCATTCGTTGTTGTTTGATTGATACACCATCAACCTTTTATGGAGATGGGTTTGATTTGCACTTGAGGATTGGTTTGATGATGGGTGATACGCAGAAGGGGTGGCATGGGGTTTGTGTGAGCTAAATGGTGTTTGCCAAATCCAAAAGCTTCGGACATTACTTGCCAAAACACAAATTATGATAAGATTAGTTCTTTACAAGTCAATACAAAGATGCGGGGGAGCTCTTAGCTCACCGCCATGCAAGACGAGTCCAAAATAGTCTCTGCACAGCCATTGATTATATTCAAGGCTTTCCATTCAAGCCTATGTGTGCAGTTCTCTCATTCCCATGCCTTTCAAGAATGTCTGTCCTCTCACATAGTTTGAATGATCAGCCACAAAAAAAGCAGGCATCAAGCAAGACATGAACTGATCCATAAACAAATTCACTTAAAAAGGAAAAGGATAATTGATACAAACATCATCTGAAACAAACAGGATTGCAAGAATCTTTCAGTCATCTAATTTCTAACTGCCTGCACGGCTTGAGCGGTTGCTATCACTTGAGCCATGATAGTTGTATACTGAATGGCTGTGTGTTGTGAAGTATAGTTATCCGCGAGGCCAAACTCTGCAAAGTTTGGCTCTGTATGCATAAAATGACCTGGTAATGATCTTTTTGACAGAGCTTCTTGCCATATATCAAAGAACTCCTCCATAATTTGTCGGGATTTATCCAATGAAGAAATAGGAAGATACTCCATCTGCAAAAAGCAAAAGTTAGCTCTTAAGAATTATATTTAATCGCAAACTTCTCATGTGTACATTCTTAACTTCTATTTAATTTAGAACTGCTGGTGAATGGCACCACAAGGACAACACAGTCAACGATACCGAATTCCTCATCACTCAAGGCCAATATATATTTTTTAAGATGGGACAGAAAGGTAATATTTGGAACTACTTCCAAAACAAAAGTCTTCTCTTTTGTATCATTTAGTAACAAGAAACCAAGACAGCCCTATTTGGTGTAGATTACAGAAATAAGATTTGTGGAACATGTTCTCTTAAAACAGTGAAAAATTTGAAAACAAGTTGTGTTCAGTTATTATAATAGTTTTTAGGAAAAATCCATTTTATTTGCCTCTCATATGGCCCAGAACACTCATTAAAAAATAGCCAAAGACACCTCATATGGTTGTGATCATTTTGTATTTACCATCGTTGATTCAGACCAAATTGACAGAAATTGTGCCACAACCTAAGAAGCACAGCGGAGGAAGCTTGTTGCGTTCGACACTTCTTCAACGTCTTAATCAAAAAATCAAATTCATGATATCATACACTTTACCAACACTTCAACGACACTGAGCTCTCTGAACAAGTCCTATGTAATGAATTTCTTCATAATGACAATGTTTTGCATTATTCATAACACAACTTGTAAACTCTAATATGTTTTGAAACATTTTGAAGATGAATACATCATGTGTATTACAATTTACATTTACCTGTAATTGTTTTGCATTTTTTAGAATGTGATTGTTACATAGATGATATCTTAATGTTTAAGTTACGAATGAATATAGCCTTTCAATCTAATTAGTGTTATTCTATACATTTTTTTCATTATCTTTGAATAAATATTCATATATATATGCCATAATAAAATTTTAAAATATAAAATTGTAACGTGCCCTAAGTGTGTCGAGTCCTTTATTTTTTAAAAATTGGCATGTCGGCGTGTCAATATTGTGTCACGTGCCATGTCTATGCCATAACGAATTTGAGAGTTGAAATGGAGAGAAATAAAAAATTAAGTCGAAGTAAAAATGCAATGTAAGAAGAGAAATACTCTTTATCTTCATCTTTTTTCCCAAAAACCCAAATCCATAACCTGTAACCATCTTTCCCCAAAAGTCCAACCGTAAACACACACCCCCCCCCACATTGCTGGTTTGATTATCCAGCCACCTCCTTCCAAACACATGCCACCCCAGCCACACCACAAACACCTTTCCCCCACCCACGATCTGTTCAAACCAATTTGATATATATATATGTGTGTGTGTGTGTGTGTGTATATAGTATAGTTCATATAGAAGCAGAGGTAGGCAGGATCTAGTAAGAGCATAGAACTAATTTATTCAGTGTCGGCATGCAGCCACAAGAAACTAAAGATACAAAGTGTAACATTCCTATTGTAATTGGTCATTGTTTTCCCAAGGATTGGTCTCGTTTGGATAATGTTGGTTCTCGATGTGTTGCTCGAATTTTATTTGGCTGGCATAGTTTACTATGGGATATATCTCCTCTGATGGTTACTAAAGCAGTTGTTGGCCTGCAGTGCTGTTCATAAGGCTTCTGGGAAAAGTTTGTGTATTACTATGATCTATGCACACAATAATCCTATCAGTAGAGGTTCCCTCAGGTTGGTTTTGAGGAGGCTTTTTCTGTTAGTCAATACTATTTGGGAATTTTAATGTTGTCAGGAAGGTAGCTGAGAAGATGGATTCTGATAATATTGACCTTAATGCTATTGCTGATTCTAATTCTTATCTTGAAGATATTGACATTGAAGATTTAAATTTCAAACATTTCTGTTTTACCTGGACTAATAAAACAGGTGGAATGGGGAGTGTGAAGACTTGATAGGCTCTCGTGAATTCAGCTTGGCAGGAAAAGTTTGCAAAATCTGAAGCCTTGTTCAAGCATCCTGGCATATCTGATCATTGTTCTATTTTGGTAAGTATTTGTGCTGATTTGGCTGTTAAACGTCCCTTCAAATTCTTTAATTTCTGGATGGCAAATAAGAGGTTCAAGGGTATTCTTGAGCAGTCCCTATTGAAGGTTTTGCTATGTTAAAATTGTCCCTAAAATTGTGAAGGCTTCAGCCTGCATTACAAGAATTGATTAAGAGTTGCTATAGTAATATTTCAGATAGGGTGTTGCAAGCTAAATCTAAACTGGATAAGCTTCAGGAATTATGCCTTGGATCATAATGTGGTTGATGACACCTTTCAAGCTGAAAGAGTGGCCATGGCTGAATATATTGCTTTATCTTATGCTGAAGAAGAGTTCAAAAAACAAAAATCTAGGGTCCAATGGCTGGCTTTAGGGGATCATAGTATTTTCATAAGAAGTTTGTTTCTCACAAAATGAAGAATAAGATCTTAAGTATTCATGATGAACAAGGGCATAAACTTGATGATACAAAGGGACACTAAGAAGGTAGTTGTTAGGTTCCATCAAGCCTTACTAGGAAACTCAGACTTTTGAGCTGCCAGCTACCACAAATGAATTGGAAGATCTGAATTTTGTTCACATCCCAGACCATCTCAAAGCTGATATGATTAAACCAGTGACTGGGGATGAGGTTAAGAGGGCTATGTTTTCTATCAACAGGGATAAGGCTCCTGGACCTGATGGGTATAATTCTACTTTTTATCAAAAATACAAACATTGTGGGTATGAATATTGTTCAAGCTGTCCAAGCTTTTTTTTACCAATGGTTTTATGTTGCAAGAATGGAATGCCATTGCTATAACTCTAATTCCCAAGTCCTAAGATTCTTTGTCCAAACACAATGAGGGATTTTAGACCTATCTCTTGCTGCAATGTGCCTTATAAATGTATTTATAAAATTTTGGTTTCTAGGACGTTGCCCATGTTGAATGGTCTGATTTGTCAATCTCAATCTGCCTTTGTGAAGGGGAGGTCTATAGCTGATAATGTGTTGTTAATGCAAGAATTGGTAAGGAACTATCATAGGAATGACTCTCCTCCTAGATGTTCAATCAAAATTGACATTTTGAAGGCTTATGACTCAGTTAAGCGGGAATTTTTGTTTGCTTTGATGAAGATTATGCAGTTTCCTGTCAACTTCATTCATTGGGTTGTTCAGTGTGTCTCTACTGCCAGTTATTCAACTGTTCTTAATGGTGAGCTCGAAGGGTACATTAAAGGAGATAAAGGTCTAAGGAAGGGAGATCCCATATCTCCATACTTGTTCTTGCTAGTTATGGAGGGTTTCACTACAATGCTTAAGAAGAAGCTCGCTCAGGGGTAGTTCTCTGACCACCCCAAATGTCAAGTCCTAAATCTTAGTCACATTGCTTTTGCTGATGATCTTTTTGTAGTTTGTGGAGCTGATGTGCAGTTGTTCAGAATTATTAAGGATGCTTTGGTGCAGTTTCAAAGATGGTTTGGGTTACAGCCTAACCTTCAAAAGAGTGCTTCTTTTTGGCTGGGATTTCTGGAAGTCTGAAGCAAGAATTGTTGAGTGTTTTGCCTATTATTGAAGGACACTTACCTGTTAAATACTTAGCGGTTCCCTTAATCTGCACTAGGTTAAAATATGAAGATTGTGTTCAACTTAAAGAGAGACTTCTAACCAGAATACAATCATGGGCAAATAACTTGTTGTCTTATGGTGGTAGATTGCATGCAGCTCATTCAATCTGTTTTGTTGGGTATTCAGATCTATTGGTGCTCTATGTGTATCCCTCCTTCCCAAAAGAATCTTAAAAGAAATTGAGAGTCTGTTAAAGGGATTGATATGAGGAGGACAGGAGCTAAGGTCAAACGGGCTGATGTATGTGTCCCTGAGAAAGAAGGGGGGGTTTGGGAATCAGAGATGTAAACAGTTGGAATAAAGCAAACATCTTGAGACATTTGTGGGTTATTAGTAAAAAAGCTTATTCTTTATGGGCAAGATGGATTCATACTTATATAATGAAGGACCAGTGTTTTTGGGATGTTCCCTAAAGATTCTTCTTGGTCCGTGAGGAAGATCTTAAGCTAAGAGAGATTGGGCAGTCTTTAATTCAATATCAAATTGGCATTGGACTGAACACTTTTATGAGGCTAGATAATTGGCACCCATTGGGTCCTTTATACAAATATTTTGGCAATTTTATTGTTCAAAATATTGGGAGAGCCTTGCATGCTAAAGCTTCTGCCATTGTGACAGCATGAATGGCATTGGCACAGACAAATAAATAGGGCAGTTTCAGCGGTTATAGGCTAACGGTGCTTCTTTAGTGCCTGATATTACTAAGGAACATGCAGTTAAATGGGTTCCTACTCCTAATGGTTCTTACACTGTTAAGTCAGCCTGGGAGGCCATTACACACAAAAGATCTGAAGTCATCTGGCATGATGTTGTTTGGTTTACTAAATGGTCCTTTATTCCATGGCTGGTTTGTCAGCAGAGGCTAACTACTAAGGATAGAATGTTGCAATGGGGAATGCAGATAGATCCCCTCTGTGTGCTAGGTAATGCAATTCAGGAAAGCCATAAGCATCGGGTCTTTTGAATGCCATTTTAGCAGTATATATGGGATAATCTGTTGAAGATTAATCAAACTACCAGAGGTGTTTTGGATTGGAGTGAGAAAATTTAGTGGTGTAACGTGCATTGCTCAGACAAGTCTCTGCTAAGTGTAGCTCATAATCTGTCTTTGGCTTGTGTAGTTTACCACATCTGGATTGAAAAAAAAACAACAGAGATTTAGGCAAGCTGTTAGTCATCCAGGGGTCATCCTTGTCACTTCCATTCAAGATATTGAGCTAGAATTTGTTCTTTGAATAACGTTAGAAAAACTTTTCTTAACTTGCAGAGTTGTATGGAATGGGAAGTACCCTTATCTATCCGCCATATATAGTCAAACTATAATCTTTTTTAGGTTGCTGGCTTAGATAGTATGTTAGTTTTGTCCTGAGGATGCTTGGGGGTATGCCACTTGGTTCTCTGTATTTTGTTCT